TTATCGTTGCTGACATTTATACATTTTTTATTGCCGCGTTTAATCGACGCGGTTTTCCCGGAACCATTTCATTGATCTGAGAGCAGAACGTCATCTGTCATCGTCACACAATGTCTCGTCTGCTGTCAGTTATTAATTTTGTTTTTTTTTTGTATTCTGCCATTCGAACAAATATCGTTCCCGCTTTCCGCTGTGTGGCCGCTCGCTTTTGTGTGTAAAATAAGTATTTATTAATGGGAACCTACTACGGTTTAGGCTGCGGGTGACCTGACGCCGCCGTGTGGATTGTGATAACGTCAGACCTATCAAAATGTCGTTAACTCTGTTAGATCAAAAACTTCCAACGCTTTCGACGATAACACCAGTTGTTACTACTAAGCGCTCATTTAAATTGCCGTGTTGTTCACCGGCGAACATTTCACACGCATCTACTATTTTGTGCGATAAAAAATATTTTAACGGTCCGCCTAGTGCGCCGACATCGGCTTGTCAGCGTTCGCCTGTCGCTGTTCTAGCCGTTTGCGCGCGCAGACGTCGAATACAATAACAAAGTAAACTTTTGTTGCACTTCTCGGACGCTGTCCACCTCGTGCCGATCCGACAAAACCGCGTGGCGCCATCAACCCGCGAATCGTACCCACTTGACGCACACCTCCTGCCCGCGTCGGTCAACGACACCGCGTGCGACACGGCCGCGTGTTGATGTCCACTGCTCGGGGGACGCTTGGAAACGAAAACGATTTATTACGCGGACTGGACGGCCGCTAGTGTGGCCGCCGGTCGACAAAAGATTCTCCGTTTTCGACCCGAGCCACCGTCCGACCGTGAAATTGCTCACGGTCGCCGAGATAAAAGGGAAACTTTGTGCAAGTCACGGCCACCCGTACCGATTGTGTACTGCGACGTGGTAAAATGAAACGAAAGAGAAACCGCGTTACGGTTGAACTTGGACTGTCCGCGCACCATACCCGTTGGTTACGACAGTCTGTGTGTTGTTGTGTCGCAGTGACTTGTCGGCGGTATTGGTATGTAGAGAAGTATCACCAAATCAACTTGTTGTGTGAAATTCCGAAGCATTGCGGTTTTGATTGACAAAAACGCATTTTTTTTGTTTCGGGTCTTATAAGTCTTCGTTGTTTTTTTGAGATTAAGACGTTTTTTTTTCCGCCTTGCGAAACCGTTGTTTTATGATATGTAAAAAACGTATGGCGCTCATAAAGGTTAGCAAAACATTAGTCGCCATAGTACTCCGACTTTTGGCCAATAATATCATTTTTCCAACCATGCGCCACTACAATATCAATTAGGTACTTTTTTTTTAGTCATAACGTTATATTGTTCTTAGCAATGTAGCTTAGCCGGCTGGTAAGTCGAACTTAGCGTCGGCATACCTTCCCCTGCCCGCACTCTTACCCTTCGGCCATTGGTTCTCAGCCGTGATAAGGTCGCGATGCAATGAAATGTGTATCGAAGGAAAAAACTGAGTAGCAAAAAAAAATTCATAACGCAGCGGTCGGCTTCCGATACTTTTCCGTTGGTCGATTATGTACGACGTGTGCGTGCCCTCTTATCGTTTCATCTTTTTATCAACGCCATAAGTTGATGATACGCACAAGCACCGCTCGGTTAGTATCTTGTAATATGCTATTTATAATGAATTCTAACTATGTAGTCACAGTCTTTCTTTAGCGTCACAGCAGCAATAAGTCGCTTTCTGTTTACTCGTCTGTATCGTTGAACATTGTTAACATAGTCAAAAAAACTGTTTCGTGTATTTAAAGAAAAAACAAGTCAGACGTTATTGCTGAAATTACACAAACTCCGACTAAAATTTTAATTATAATAGTAACAAATAGAACATTTTGCAAAAAAACGTGTAAATATAATGATTAATAGTCTTGTTTTTCAATTGTTAAATTCTAAAATAAAAATACAGATTCTACGCATTAAAAAAAATAACAATTATAACTATTTCAAATCGGCGTAGTTTAAAAATTGAGATTGACATTTTATAAAGTAATTACTTAAAAGGTTCCTGGACGTTTTCCCTACACATTTATACAAAAATGAAGTTTTTCGCATTTGTTATAGTCGCTATGATAATAAACATAAGTTTTGTTAATGCAACTGATTGTACGATGGAGTGGCCCACTATTAAATTTGCAGAAGACTTGGAAAATATTAAAAATCATTTTTTATGGGAATACGTAAAAGAAGATTATGTAAACGGATTCGACGGTGAAATAATTAAGTTGGATTTGTTGGTGTCTGATTCAATCGAAAACGGAAATGGAAACCAAATTAATGACGCTTATTGGAAAATTTTGCAGCGTATGAGTGATCGTACATATAAATATGCTTTTCTACTAATTTTTTATGGAAATGAAGCCCAGAAATCCGGAATGGATCAAACTGATGTTTTGAACATTTTAATAAATTCTTCCGATAAATTATATAGGACTTTGGACCAGATGGAATTTGAGAGGGTTGTTGACTTAAGATGGGAAATTCAACAAATAACGTCGTTACAAAGTGATTCTAAAAAAGCATTGCATTCAATGGCAATGACACTGAACACACTTTTACAGTACTTTAATGACACTATCGGATTACAATCTAATTGTTGTTCAACTTATCTTTCTTCATACTTAAACAAAAGTTCAATAGACATAAATCAGGAAACATTGGAAACAATTTTTAAGGAATTTCCTCGACCTCATAATAAAGATAAATCATATGATTTTCACATTATACCGCAAGAAAGTTATGAGACGGCTTACAAACTAAATCAGATAATTACACTAATTGACAATGAATACTCAATATAATAATTAATCAAGACAATCTGCGTGCGTGTGTGTTTTTTTTTTTCTTTTTTTAATGCAATTCAATTATTTGATGTTTGTTTTAATATTCTTTGAAACTGATGATAAAAATAGAGCTGTATATAATACATTTACATTTATTTGACTTTATATAAATAAATTATTCACTTTAATTTATAAACATGTTAATTATTTAAAAAATATTTGAGTACTTCATGTAAATATTCCTATTCAATTTTAGAAGTTTCAAGAGATGTTTGTAACTTACTAGAAGGTCTGTGGTTTATTATAATAAATATTTTGATATCTCATTGCGTTGAAATAAAATTTATTGGAACATATCTATTTGTATGATGAACAAGTGGTCCAAAAATAATGCCATAGGTACATTTTTATAATAATTAATATTACATTATTAATAGTGTACGATCACTCGATCGTACATAGTTAGATACACTTTGAGTACATCTAATTTGTGTGTCACTGATGAATTATTGAATATTTCTAACTCGAGTATTTCTATAGTAAAAGTTTTTTGAAGAGCATATCGGAGTATTAAATGTAGACCTAACTTAATAATAGGTATTGTTTTTTCTTGTTTAATCCTGTTCGTTTTTTGTTCTATCATTGTTTGCTGGCGTTTCTCCTTCTGAATTAAAGTTGAATTATTATTTTACTTCTATGATTTTACAAATCGTATAAGTAAAGTAATTTAGTGTTTCCTTTTTCCTGTTCTTGCTGATCATTATTTATTTGCCTTTTAATTCTGAAGACTCAATAAAACAATAAATTGACTACAATAGTTTTCAAAATTGGTGTGTAAATATCGGTCTCCGTGTTAATTTATGAAAATGCTCCTAAATTTACTTCAATCGTTGTAAATCATGTGATACTTATTTATACAACAAAAATGGTGTGTGTTAAATAAAGCAAGCCGCGTTATAGATTTGGGTGTAATTTTAACGTCATATTTATTGTTTTATGAACATATCTCAATAATGTACAACAAAGCCCTGCGGGTTTTTTGCTTTCCCAAAAGTAATTCTTGGGAATCCAATAATTTGTCTTATCTAAAGATGTTATATTTTACTCTTTTAAGATCAATTTTTGAATACGTGTCTATTATATGATCACCTTACCAATTTGAGTTAGCTAGTAAAATAGAGTCTTCATAGTTGGTTCTTTTTTCGTATGATGGCATTTTAACTGAATAAAGTTTATGTGTCACTCGCGTACAATTGCTAGTGATTAATATAAATAATAATTAGATATAAATTGTATACAAAATTGATTTGTATTGTTTATAAGTTGAGACCTAAGGACCATTGTATGGGTCCTAAGGTTCGTATATATTCGTGTGGGTTTTCCCATCTTCTTTACACACACAGCTTTTCAAAGAGGACGTTAAAGACAAATAGAGAAATAACAAGTTGAAATCTACTATAGTTTTTGTCTTTTAGGCGCTATATAAGTTGCGATAAAGTTGTAAAATATTTTATAAATTGGCAAATAATAGGGTGTTTTCTACATATAAAACTGAGGTCAATGATTCCTCCTCGGTTTAAAATAAGAATTTCCTTTTTTCAAGTGTAACATTACAGTGTGATTTATTTAGCATAATAATCCAAACTTTTTTTTTTATAAAAATTGAAATTTTCCAAAAAAAATGGACTGAATAAATTTATTTTAAATTTTACAAACCGTACTAAATATTAAATTATTTGTAAAAAAATATAAACTATTTCTAGGAGTAACTTTTGAAAATTAAATTATAACCTATAATTATTATTTTTTTGTTAGATAGACTACTGAATAAGATTATAATATTCAGATTGGTAATATTATTTTTTTAAATATTACATTTTAATTATTTATACAAGATTTTGGCGAAGTAATGTTCAGCGATCATCTATTTTTACCTCAATGCGTAGATAATAATACTACTTCGTTGCCCGCCCATGTCTTAATAAAAGTGATGAGTAGCTTTCATATTTGTTAATCAAATAATAATTTTGGTCTGCGACACATAAATCAAATGTGTTATATTTACATAAGTACTCGCAGGATTAGTGATTACAATAAACTTGTGTAAATAAAAAAAAAGTCATTATAAGTAAGTAAATAAAATTATGTTTTAAATTTTAGGAGAATTAAAATATTTTAAGTATTAATTTAAAATTTTTTTTTTTTGAAGTTATAGTTCATTATTCAATGTTCACTAAAAAACTGAAAATTGAGAATATTCTTAGTGTTTGCTTTTATAGTTCACCAACTTATGTAATTTTATAATACTCCGAAGTGAATCGTTGTTTAATTTGTAATTGTAATTTTTACATTATAGATTTAAAAATCGAACACAGTTCCAATATTTGTAAAAAAAGATCATAAAACGATTAATTATATTTAGTTGAATTTACGCAGTCGAATTAAGATGAAAATGTTTTCACTCACTATTGAAACAGTACTAATTACTATATGTTCAATAACATGTCTTAATTCATCTACGATTGTTGAAGTACAATCCATTTATAAACCAACTATAAAAGACTTGGAAGAAATCCAAAATCATTTTTTATGGAATTACATAAAAGAAGAACGGGTTAAAACGTCATATCAAAAGTTCGTTTCAAAACCTTATGATTTTTATGTCGAGGAAACAATCAGAACTCAAATAGAGAGTCGAATTAATCGTAGTTATTGGCGAGGTATACAATTTATAATTAATCGAACATATAGATACACTTTATTGTTAGCTATATTTGCCTACGAATCGCTAAACTATGGAGTGGAACAGTCTTACCTTTTGGAAGGCATCGAAAAAGCTGCTAGAAAATTGTACAAAGCTGTAGAACATTTAAGATTTGATAGAATGGAAGATTTAAGAGCGGAAATTATTGATTTGACGACACTTGGCGGTAATTTTAAGAATGCTCTAAATACAGTTACGTCAACGATGAACAGATATATTTTATATTTCATTACTACTTTTGATCTAGAAAAAATCAAAATGTTCAAACACTTTTCTTTGTATTTAAAAAGTAAACCGATAATTCTACCACTGCAAGTAAGGGCGAGATTACTAAGTGGATTTCCCACTCATCGTGGTTATCATAAATATGATTTCCATGTGCCTCCTGTAGGAGTCATTGAAGCTGTTGCTAAATTAATGAATATTATTCAGCTTATTAATAGTGAATACTTAGTTGAATAAGTGGTTTTGATTAAATTATTATTAATTAATTAAATTAATCTTTGAACTGTTTACCTTAAACTCGATAAGATCCTAAGATATTATAAGCATGTGTAAATTATAATAATAAAATATCTAACTGTATTGATATTTAAATGTTTAAATAGTTTTTTCAAATCATTTTAGGATTACTGAATTTATATATGAATCTATTGCTGTTAGTATAATTCTACAGGCGGTCGGAGGGGTTCAAAATTTGTCGATTTTGAAGTCTTAAAATATTAATATTATTGATATTAATTATACTCACTAGAAAAAATAAACTGTTTAAAAGTTCTACATAATTGTTTAATTATTTTAACTTTAGTGACACAAAATAAAATAATCTCGCGAGGTTATCTGATTAATAGAATGATAATGAGCTCATTGTAGTTATATCATCCATATTATGGAGCAATACCAAGATAATAAAATTTTTAAGTGATAATTATGTAAGACATTAGTAATTGGAAAGAAATATATGTGTTATTATTAAAAAAATGTTTTACTACTAAACTGTGTTAATCAATCACGAACAGTTAAAATAATGTTTTTTTTTATTTATTTAACAACATGTTTTATTAATGTCTGTACGATTTCTTAGCAAATATTAGCAACTAAAAAACATGTATATCGATAGACTTGAAACTTTTTTTTTACCACAAAGCTCAACGAAGAATTATTTTTAGAAAACTTTTTGTGCGTAATTGTTAACCAAATAAAATTATGATTTAAATTTTAGTAGATTTAAAATAATTTAAGTATTAATTTAAATTTTTTTTATGAAATTATAGTTCATTATTCTAAGTACACTTAAAAACTGAAAATTGACAATATTCGTAGTGTTTGCTTTTATAGTTCACTGACTTGTGTATTTTTATAAAACTCGGGAGTAAAGCGTTGTTTTATTTGTAATTTTTACATTAGATTCAAAATTAAACATAACTTCAATAATTGTTAAAAAAAGTATATAAAACCATTAATTATATTTAGTTGAGATTTCATTTAACGCAGTCAAATCAAGATGAAAATTTTTACACTTGTTGTTGCCACAGCACTAATTACTGCATGTTCAGTAATATTTATTACAAAATCTAGGACTGATGGAAAACAATCCATTTATAAACCAACTATAAAAGATTTAAAACAAATCCAAAATCATTTTTTATGGCACTACATAAAAGACGAACTGGTTCACACGCCATTTGAAACGTTCTTTCCAAAACCATATTATTTGTATGTCGAGGAATCAATCATAACTAAAGTAGAGAGTCGAATTAATCGTAGTTATTGGCGAGGTATGCAATTTATAATTATTCGAACTTATAGATACACCTTATTGTTAGCTCTATTTGCCTACGAAACGATAAAGTATAGAATGGAACAGCCTTACCTTTTGCAAGTCATCAAAAAAACTGCTAGAAAATTGTACAAAACAGTAGAAACTTTAAGATTTGATAAAATGGAAGATTTAAGAACGGAAATTTTGGATTTAACGAAACTTGGCGATAATCATAGAATTGTTTTAAAAACAATTACGTCAACGATGAATAGATATATTTTATATTTTATCACTAATTATCAAATAGAAAAAAATAGAATGTTCGATAACTTTAGTTCGTATTTAAAAAATCAACCGATAATTCTACCAGTGGAAGTAAGAGAATATTTACTAAAGGGAATTCCAACTCATCGTCGTTTTAATCCATTATTTAATTTCCATGTGCCTCCCTTAGGATATTCTGAAGCTCTTTATAAATTAATAGATGTTATTGGTCTTATCGATAGTGAATACTTAGTTGAATAAGTAGTTTTGATTAAATTATTATTAATTAAATTAATTAATCTTTGAACTGTTTACCTTAAACTCGATAAGATCCTACGATATTATAAGCATGTGTAAATTATAATAATAAAATATCTAACTGTATTGATATTTAAATGTTTAAATAGTTTTTTCAAATCATTTTAGGATTACTGAATTTAAATATGAATCTATTGCTATAACTAATGATTCTACAGATATTAATATTGATCCTTGATATATATTAATTATACTCACTAGAAAAAATAAACTGTTTAAAAGTTCTAATTAATTTTAACTTTAGTGACACAAAATAAATAAATAATCTCACGAGATTATCTGATTAATAGAATGATAATGAGCTCATTGTAGTTATATCATCCATATTATGGAGTAATACCAAGATAATAAAATTTATCAGTGATAATTATGTAATTGGTAAAAAAGAAATATGTGTTATTATTAAAAAAAATTTTTACTACTAAACTGTGTTAATCAATCACGAATAGTTAAAATAATATTTTTTTAAAATTTATTTAACAACATGTTTTATTAAGGTCTGTACGATTTCTTAGCAAATATTAGCAACTAAAAAATATGTATATATCGATAGACTTGAAACAATTTTTTTCACGACAAAGTCAACGAAGAATTATTCTTAGAAAACTTTTTGTGCGTACTTGTTAACCAAATAAAATTATGATTTAAAATAATTTAAGTATTAATTTAATTTTTTTTTATAATATTATAGTTCATTATTCTAAGTACATTTAAAAACTGAAAATTGACAATATTCGTAGTGTTTGCTTTTATAGTTCACTGACTTGTGTATTTTTATAAAACTCGGAAGTAAAGCGTTGTTTTATTTGTAATTTTTACATTATAGATTCAAAATTAAACATAATTTCAATAATTGTAAAAAAAGTAAATAAAACGTTTAATCATATTTAGTTGAGATTTCATTTTACGCAGTCAAATCAAGATGAACATTTTTACACTTGTTGTTGCCACAGCACTAATTACTGCGTGTTCAGTAATATATGTTAAAAAATCTAGGACTGATGGAAAACAATCCATTTATAAACCAACTATAAAAGATTTAAAACAAATCCAAAATCATTTTTTATGGCACTACATAAAAGACGAACTGGTTCACACGCCATTTGAAACGTTCTTTCCAAAACCATATTATTTGTATGTCGAGGAATCAATCATAACTAAAGTAGAGAGTCGAATTAATCGTAGTTATTGGCGAGGTATGCAATTTATAATTATTCGAACTTATAGATACACCTTATTGTTATCTCTATTTGCCTACGAAACGATAAAGTATAGAATGGAACAGCCTTACCTTTTGCAAGCCATCGAAAAAACTGCTAGAAAATTGTACAAAACAGTAGAACCTTTAAGATTTGATAAAATGGAAGATTTAAGAACGGAAATTTTGGATTTAACGAAACTTGGCGATAATCATAGAAATGTTTTAAAAACAATTACGTCAACGATGAATAGATATATTTTATATTTTATCACTAATTATCAAATAGAAAAAAATAGAATGTTCGATAACTTTAGTTCGTATTTAAAAAATCAACCGATAATTCTACCAGTGGAAGTAAGAGAATATTTACTAAAGGGAATTCCAACTCATCGTCGTTTTGATCCAATATTTAATTTCCATGTGCCTCCCCTAGGATATTCTGAAGCTCTTTATAAATTAATAGATGTTATTGGTCTTATCGATAGTGAATACTTAGTTGAATAAGTAGTTTTGATTAAATTATTATTAATTAAATTAATTAATCTTTGAACTGTTTACCTTAAACTCGATAAGATCCTAAGATATTATAAGCATGTGTAAATTATAATTATAAACACGGGTTAATTATAGTAATAAAAAATCTAATTTTATTGCTAATTGTATTCAATTTTTAAAGACATACAAGTTTTTTTAATGATTTTAGGATTACAGAATTTAAATATGAATCTATTGCTATTACTAATGATTCTACAGGTGTTTGGAGGTGTTCAAAATTTGTCGTTTTTCCTAAAAGACTTAAAAGTTTTTACTATAAGAATTAAGAGTGTTGTAGAACAATTTTTCTTTTGCTAAACATTACATTTTAACTCTTAAAATGTACGTTTTATTCGTATATATTTACTTTTGCGGCTAAAATTTGTTTTATAAGTTTATAATGTTTTTTTATAATATAAAAGCTGTTATATACTCTGTTAATAGACTTCCTATACTTTTAAAGGTTACTAAGTAGTCTAAAAATTTATGAAATTTCATTTTTTTTTTTTT